TAGAGTTAGTTTTCGATGAAGTTTGTGTCGTCTGTTGTGTTATACAAGCAATCAAATGTGATTGTATTATAGCTATCTTTTGTCACATTTCATTTATTTGTTGAGCATTTACAACGGTTCAGTCGTTGATGAACGATCGAAGTTCATCGAAAAACATCATTATTTGTTTTGTAGGCGAAATATGAGATGATCATACGAATTCTGAATCGTGAATGGAACTCAAGATTGTCCGATGGAACAACTGAGGAATTCCGTACAATGACAAATGAAGTAACAAAAGCGGTCAGTTTCAAATGTTCACCAGTTTTTTGTGAAGTATTATTACGCTCATTGAGCCTGAAGCCTGAAAGCATGACAGCTGACCAATTGCGCAGTTGGTTACTGATGGGTCTCGCTACTCCGCCACTTTTCTAAAAAAAAGTTTTTGCAATGTGATCGTTAAAAATTCAAAAATTTTGAAAAATTTATTTCAGATCGACTCAGTTATGCAACCAAAATGGCCATCAATCAAGGTTGCGAAAGTCACAAAATTCGTGTAAGTCATCAAAATTCATCTTATTCGTTGTATATGTTTTCTAAAACACTCTTATTGAAATTCAGCGATGGCTAATAGCGTGCTATTCCACTATTCTTTTACTTTGTTGTATGTCTGACAACGTTGATCGAACAACGTTTCAATTACAGGAAAGGAAGCGTCATAGCGCACGTAACGTTAACAACCACAGAATCCAATTCACCATCCGCAATGAAGGTCAAACAGCTCATCGAAGATGTGAGTCATTTTATCATTGATATGATCAGCGTTTATCAATGAGAGCGCGTGGTTTTTCGACGTTTTTATGTTTACTGCAAGAGGACGTAACAGATACTTAAAGATACTTTGGTTTCCTTCTAAAACAATTCAACAATTGGCTTGCTCAAATCAAGATTGCGTGTGAAGGATGATGTAATCAGAAATGATTTTATCACCGAATTGTTATCAAACCTGATTTCAGCAAGCTGTTCGTGGTCCTGTTGAATCGCTCAACATCGAGCCATCAACAGTGAAAGCGATAAAAACAGAAATTGGTTAGTTCATGTGTTTGTTATATGAATTATTTAGTGAAGATATAACTGTCGATTTAGTTACATCAATTAGTTGTTCTGACAATCCGGAGCTCAGTTCATTGCTCACGAATGATCGTGGATCTCTTCTGTCAGCGTGTTGCTGGTTTCAATAGAAACATTTCTGTCATAACATCGTTTAACTTGAATCAGAGATTGAGCTCATCGAAATAATGTATCTCTGTTCAAGTTTTCGGCCTTAACTCAAGTTCAAATGATTTTTATTGTAGACATCAGCTGAATAGAATACTTCTTATGTCAGACTAAGTTTTTGAAAAATTGGTAACATTTCAGAAGAGCCCGAAAACATGACAGCTGACCAGCTGCGCAATTGGATACTGATCGGTTTGGGTGTATCGCTTTTCTTGTTGGCGTTCTGTTTGGTTTGTTGTATTGTTTGTCGGTCGTGCTCTCGAAAACGTGAAACTTTCGTAAGTTTTATCGTTATTTGATTAATCTTAAAACTGTCATATTTCTTATTATATTCACTGTTTCTATGATTTACACTTCTGTTCATTGTGTGGGCATTATAATTGATTTGTTGAAGTGGTAGTGATCTGATAGTGTTCCTTAGCTTGAAGACTAGTAATATAATTCTCTAATTATATTACTAGTCTTCAAGTTAGTCTAATACTCCTATAGTATTACTAGTTGCATTCCACTTTTTTAAATCAACAAAATTAACTTCCATTAGGTTTTTCATCAATTTTTGCTGCAGTTTTAGAATTTAGGTTGATCTTCGATTATATTTCCATCATTTTCAGTTCTACGTCTGCCATGTAGTTAGATTATTATGTGCTTGTAATAATGATCTTATAGCATGATCTTATTAAATGATGAATTGTAATCAATGAGAGAGTGTATTTTCAGTTCAACGGTGGCTATCCGGTTCAATATCCAATGAACGGATATGGATACCAGGCTACAAGTGGGTTGTTTTCTATATGATTTTCATTCATCCATCCATCATCATTTTCTTGTTCCTTCTTAGACCGGAATTGAATTCACTTTTTCGAATGTGTTTAATCATAATATGATAGAAGCTTTTCGTAGTCGAAATATCCAGGTTTTTGATCACAAATGAGGTTTATAGATGGTTATGTGAGAGATGAATTTTTAGTGGTGCCCGCAATCGAGAAGAAAGGTTTCGAGAATGCCACATTCCAATCAGTTCATACTAGACATTTCTCACAGGCCACTACAGCGTCGCAAAACGGCAAATCGTCCCCGAACACGATCGCAACGACGCACGAGAGTCCGAAAGGTGTCGGTGAGACCACTTATCAGGAGTGGTATGCTAAGGTTGGTGCTGCATGAATCTTCTCATTTAATTCTCATTCAGTTCAGTTGCATTTTGCACTTGTATCTTGTATCTGCAGAAAATCTTTTCT